CTCTCTCTCTCTCTCTTCTCTCTCTTCTCTCGCAGGAGGATCCGGGCAAAGAGCCACATATAAAGGACTCTTCACCCCTGCCTCCAAAAAGAGCGCCGTGTTTTTTCCTACCTCGCTGCCCTCCACTTTCCCATTCTGGAGCGCTAGCTTTCGCCCCCCCCCTTGGCCTCAAGTTGGGACCATCTCAAAAACAGCAGCGGTACTGAGATGTTTATGTTTTTATCTCCAGAACTACTACCCCACATGACGACCAGGGCGGGCGTCTCGAAGTCTGATTCGGCCACTGACCAAAAGGGGTTTCAAAATGACTACGCCACCTTCGACGAATCAAGCGGCTTTATGTATATATGGGGCGCGTGAAGTCTAAGTGCGACTCAGGATACCGGTCTGACCAAAAGGGGTGTTCCGAAAACACGAGCGGTATATTGCTGACTGGTGCTTAGTAAGGAATGAGGGAATGGATCCAATGGAATCTCTATTGAGGGCTCATTCCCTTATTCCCTACTAAGCACCAGTCAGATTAAGATTCACCGGTTAGTGTTTTGGCTCAAGAACTACCCTTTAGGATCTTAAGGGATAGTTTCTTAATCATAGGTGGAAAGAATGGGTTGAACGATGGGCCTGGCCTGCCACTGTGCATTTGCTTACTTCCTGGCCGCCACTGGAGTGTTTACACTACTGGACTGTTGGACAATTGGGTATGTATTGGGAGTGAACTCCCGTTTTCACATGTCCATATCCCTGGCCTAGTGGCATTGGCTTGGTGTATCCACAGCATGAACTGTTGCTTCGCTTTGCGCTGTGACGGCCGGAGGGGGGGATTCATATGGATTAATGAGGTGAACTCAGATTGAATGACGCTTCAAGGGTTTGTTTGCTTGCTCCGCCAAACTTTTGCAGGAAAGGGTTATATAGTTGGTTGTTCTTGTACTGTTGGCATTGCTGTTATTGATGTGGTTGCAATGGTCAATAATTGGGGGGGTAATGCATATCCAGTTCAACCTTGGCTATTCGGCTATTCTGTTGAGACAAACCGCATCAAACCGCTGGAGATTGTGACTCATTTGTTGGGTTTGCACCTGCAAGGCACCTGCGTTGAGCAGCAGCCTCTTGTACCATGTGCATGTGCCTGGGCGCGGGAAGTTTGGGCAAAGCGGCCAGCGGTGGTTAGAACAAAAGGTTCAATTGGTAATTAGGTCTATGCCTATAAAGGTGATGTGACATCGACCGTGCGCAGAGATAGTGCTAATTATGGTTAAGCGTGGATGTTCCTCAAACCATCAACAAATCCAGCACCAGGACCCTCCGACAGGCTTGTTTGGACCCTATAACAGGTGGTATCTGGAACTGCTTTGGCGCCGGCGCCCAGAAAGGTTTGTTGGAGGGTCCTGATGAGACTTGTTTGGTTCACAGACATGATTGGTGAACCGCTTTCGGGCTCCATGTGGCCTCAACGGTCAGAAGTGGTTCTCGGTGGTCGGTTCAGGTGGCCAGACCCGGCTGACCACCACACTCGTGCTTCATCATGTTCGCCGTTCCCGGCAGCTACTCAACGGGGCAAATGTGAATGGAACCCGAAGCTTCTAAGTCGCCAACTGACAGTCAGAGCCCCAACATCCCGAATCGATGAATGTATTAATGAGTAATGATTTGTGCTAGTTCTTTGAAGCTCAGTGTTCCTTTCATCTCGATACCAAACGACATCCCGGGCTTGCCCCCGTTGGGCCGTGGCGGATGAGGTCCCAGGGCTTCGGCTTTCGGATGACGAACTCGGTCTCTCAACCGCTGGGGCGGTGAACCGCCAGCGCCTTGCCTAGGCGGGAAACATGGTCCACGTGCAAGGCCCAGAGGGGTCGGAGTGGGAAGTGTGATGGGATCATAGGACCTCATCCGGTGTGAACGACCTGCCATCGGTGTGAAGAAAGAAATTGGTCAATGGCCCGGAACATATGTGGAAGTTCCGGGGTGATGAAGTGTTTCGATGTGTTTCGCCGATTTTAGTGGGTTTGTCACTTCTGCAGATGGAGTTGGACTTTCCGCAGATGGAGATGGACTTATATAGATTGAGATGGACTTTGCTCCAAAGCCTTGGTGGGTCCAACTAGCTTTGGAGAAGGCAGGTGGGTCCCTCTTTTGGGGTTGCACACGTGATGATAAGGAGCCATTGTTCAGTCCCGGCCTTTTGTATAAGAGTAGCGTTAGGCTGCACTCAAGCATTCTTGCAGGAACATATTATACAGTAATTCATATGTAGAAACAAACATATAACACATGTTTTTGAATTTTGACATGTAGACATACCTGGACCTTCAAGGCTTCCATTGGTGATCCCTTTGAAGGTGCTGGTTTCTGTATATCATATATGCTGTAGTATGCATGAGTATATCGCCTGCATCGTCGCCTGCATCGTTGTTCCGCCTCGGGAGGCCAAGCGACAGTCTTGGTGGATGGGCTCCGGCGGGTCCCCATTCGACCCAGGTCCGGTGGGTCGGCGTTTTTCGGAATGGATGCAAGTAGGCCGTCAGAAGGATCAATGAAGAAAGAGGATCCGAAAAAGCTTTGCCAATTCTTGGTTGATGTTCTGCAGATCTTGGCCATCCATGACCATCCCAAATTTGGTCATGGGGAGAAGGCTGATGATTGTCCCACGTCCGCGGTGGACGAAAGCCATGAGCCAGGCCAATTGGGTCAACTCGTTCGATGTTCACCCACCAAGCCTCAGGGGTTGGGTCAACGCGGACTTGTTGGAAGCCGTGGCCGGCCCTGAACTTGGAAGCCGTGGCGGGTGATGGGAGATGGGCCGGGTTCGGACGCATGGGTTGGAGAAGAGTGACGCGATGACGTGTCCGAGACAAAGTGGAAACCCTCCAGTTCCCGCTGCAGCAATGAACTATTAATAAGAAATCCCAAGAGGACCTGGCTGCCATAATGAGAGAAGGAACCGGGCCCCAGGTGTGATCCACGTCAATGGTCCGGAGTTTCGAGGAATCACGTTGGAGCCTATAGAGATCTCTATAGAGACTTTTAGGAGAGATCTCCAACAGCGGTCGCAGCTGCGCATCTAACCCAAGATCCCCACAACTGGTAGAGACATTAGAAAGATGGGGTGGAGGCCTGCTCCCCGCCGGAGATGGAAGCCTGCAGGTGTTGCCACTACAAGGAGGCTAACGAACATATAGACATGATGTCGGACAAAAAATGATGCCTTTTTCAAGCCTGCGAACTCTCCACTTATGAACAGGAGGTGAACTCCCCTTCCGTGAGTCAAGGAGTGCAACTCCAGGTCCACCGGTCGGCCCACCAGGTGAACTCCCGATTCGGATCGGACCACGCGCGGACCGACCGAGGGCCACCGGGCTTGGAGTCTCAACGAGGCGTGGGACCGAGGGGTGAGCCCGGTGAAACCCGGAGAACCACTGAGGAGCGTCCTCGGGCTGTTCAGAGGTGGGACCTTTTCTGACTGGTGCGACTCGCAGGGAATGAGGGAATGGATCCACTAGAATCTCTATTGGGGGCTCATTCCCTTATTCCATCTTATTCCATCTTATTCCCTACTAAGCACCAGTCAGTTTTGTGTACAGCGCAGCGTTTTCGTCGGACACATGGCGGACTCTACGGTTACTTCAGTGTAGAAGAGGACTGCTGAAAAAACTGTTTTCCCTTTTGGAAACTCTCGAATGACCCTGAACCCCTGTAATATGCTAGTATATGCTAGTTATTATATGTTATTATGCTATAAATTAAATATCAGCATATAGTAATATCACCATATATCACACATAAAAAGTACCCATATAATTATGCAAGTGCTCCCTATGTTCCAGACACTCCATGGGAATGGAATATATTTTTGTTTTTACCACATTTCAACCGCCCCACCTCGGCCTGCCGATGGTCCCATGGGTTGCGGCTGTCACGGTTTCCGTCAGACGATTAGAGCACAGATTCCGTCAGATGTTTGCGGCATAAGACTGAAACAGTTGAAGGTGACTAGCAACATCCAGTTAAACAAGAGGCACGCCTATTGAGAACTAAAAGCGTTTTTTCTTGGGACGAGGGGAAAACTGAATCGGCTACTCAGCAGCAAAATAATGAACATTGACAAGGACTTTGATCGTTGAAGTGCTCCTACTGGGACTGAGCAATATTTGCAAAAAAGACAGCCCGAACCAATGACATATATATATATATATATTCTAGTTTAATCTAGTATATATCGTGCGAATGGAAGTGCAGCGACACGTACAGTGCAACTTGTACATATATATGTACCATATGTACTTTGGCTCAAGGATCAAGCGACTAGAAAAGGTGCGGTTTCCGTTCCGACGCTACGCCGCTTCTGGACCGTCAGTGATAGCTTCAAACTTCGCTGATTAAGATCCACTCGCAGGTTATCAGCCGTACGCGCTCTTTATAGCCGTACGAGCTACACGAGACCAAGAACAAGACTAGTCATTACAGAAACCTGCAATGTCAAGCTCAGGAGGAAATGGAAGCGAACCCTATTCATTCGCTGCTCCTGGTGGTCCCAACACCATTTCGTCACCAGACTCTACAATGGGTACTGATTCATCAGCAAATGCTGACGTTATCACTATGCCTACTGGATCACAAATCTCGGAAAGATCCGTGCCACCGGCTCGGAATCTGACCGATCTTGCACCCGTGGGACCAAGAAGATCGATGAGAGCTACAACAAGATCTACATCGCCTATAACGTCTACCGCGAGATCCCCAAGAAGGAGTATAGAGAAGAGACGTGACGATGATAGAGGAACAAAAGAGCAAAGAAGAGAGATTCAGCTGGGTGAAGAATTGAGATCGGCGAGAAACGCATACAACTTTCTTCATGAAGAATATGAATGCATCCAAGCCGGATACTCACGACTACACCACGAGGCTGAAGTGGAGTTCAGGCAAATGTCTGACTACAACAGGAAGATGCAGGAACATCTACAAGAGATGACACAGGAAGATGAAGGAGCGACAATAAGAATTGAAGAGCTCGAACACAAGCTACGCTTGGCGGAATCGACAGCTGAACATATCTACATGAGATATCAAGAGCTTGCACAAGAAACTCATCAAGAACATTCAGAGCTTGAATCTGTGAAAGCAACGAAGGACAGAATGTCCCAAGAGCTTCAAGCAGCAATTGGACACATCCAAGAACAGAATGAATCTTCATTGGCGATCAATAGAAGATCAAAAGCCATTCAGGATGAAAACACAGCCTTCGTCGGAATAGCTGACCAGATACAAGCTAGAATGATTGCGCTACAGGATGAGAATGTCAACATGCACGAGGTGATCCAACACCAGAGAGAAGAACAATGGAACAGTGAGGTCAGGGAAAGACGTCTTCAACACAGTGTTCACTCATCTCAAGATCAGAGCAATCAGGAAGCTATGGTTATTGATCATCTACGAGGTCAACTAGCTATGGCACGTGGAGCTGAACTCAACGCGAGAGCGGAGATAGAAGAGATGGAAGTGGGCATGAGGATGGAGATATTTGTATGCCAGACTGAAGTCTCTGCTAAAGAAATGGCAGAAATGAAGGCGAGCCACCATGAATACGAAGCAAACGTCGCAAAGGAGGTTATCGCAAAAGGAGAAATATTCAACAACGAAGTCCTAGAAGGTTCCATCCGTGAACGACAACAGTTAAAAGACGCCAACCTCGCTCTATCCGAAGCCAACGCACAGCTGAAAAGAGAGAATATGATGAGAGCTCCTATGTTCGGCGATGATGGTGCTGAAATTCAACAGAAGATCAGAGAACTGGAGAATGCACTATTGGAAAGCCAGAAGGAGACAAAGAATGTCATTATGGAAAATGCGAAATTAAAAGCAGAAGCACGAATGGCACCCATAGTCTCTCGGTACAGCAAGCGTCCTAGTTCCAGAGACCGCGGGTTACCAACCCACGCGTCCGAGGAAGATGAGATTCGGAACGCAAAAGAGGAGGCGAAGCACTACAAGGACGGGTACAATGAAATGACAGAGAGCCGAGATGAGATGTATGAATGGTATGCCGAAACCCACAATGAGTACGCCGAGGAAAGGGAGAAATCAATTGAGCTATCCGAGGCGAACAAATCATTGAGGGACAAGATTTCAGAAGCAGAAGCATCCTCTTCATCTCATCTTACACCGGCAACCTCTACAATCATGAAAGTATCGAGGAAGGAAGAATCAAAGATAAACGTTCCGTCATGGCCCAGGATCAATGATCTTGGACTATGGAAGGCAAATCTCATTCAATCGATCATCATTGCGGCCAATGATTCAGATCAAGAGCCCTGGATCGACTGGATCAAAGAAGCCATGGACGATCCTGATCCGGACAAGTTTGTCGACTCAGGAGACCAAAGATTCCATTCAATCGATGCCAAACTCGGCCTAGCTCTTACCAAGGTCGTCATGGATGCGAAAGATGATGGTTCAGGTGTAGCTATGAAGTTGAGGACGAGGATCAATGCAAAAGGGAGAACATCAAGCCTCATAAAGGGAAGAGAGGTCCTAGCCCTGATCCTTATGAATTTCAAGACAACATCAAATGTGGAAGTCTTATATACTTCAATGCACCTCTACCAACTAGAATATCAAGGAGACAAGAACTTATCGTTGTTCTTCCACACTTGGGATGAGATTCTGGCAGGAATGAAGCCCGTTGACGTCCCGAGCGACGAAACTCTTCGGGATCTCCTATGGAGAAAGATCAGGAACTCAAACCTCATGGCATACGACATCAGCGCCTACAACAGCATGAACGACGATGATGCCAAGAAGACATACAAACATCTACGTGATATGATCAGAAGGCACATCGAACGGCAAACTGAAGACAGGACGATCCTGGAAAAGGAGAAGGCAGTGAAGAATGTGGCCAATATCTTTCAGAATCTCAAACCAGGCGGACCTGCTCCAAAACTGAAAGCTGCACCAGCTGATCCGAAGAAGAAACCAAAAGGGCAACAAGAACAGGTTGTCTCAGAAGACGCTGCTGCAGTGAAGCCGAAACCCAATCCCAAGAAGCATCCTGAAGACAAGAACAAAAAGGGAAAGGGGAAAGGTAAAGGTGATGGAAAGGATCGCAGCCGAAGTCCGAGTACAGACAAGAAGAAGATACCATGCAAATACTTCGTGAAAGGTAACTGCACTATGGGGAAAGATTGCCCATTCAGTCACAAGAAACCCAGATCACCATCCAGAGGATCTTCTGTCGGAAAGAATGACAAGCCAGTATGTTGGATGTGGATTCGAGGAACTTGTGACAAAGGGAAGGATTGCAAGTTCTACCATGACCCAAAAGCCTCTCCTAAGAGAGGGATATCTGCACCAGCTGACTCAGGAGACGATAGGCCAAAGCCCAAGGCAAAACCCAAACCGAAGCCTAAGGAGAAGCCTGGAGCCCCAGCCATTGACGGTGAACTCTTCATGGACGAATCCGAAGATGAAGGGATTGCTGCATCCGCCAAGGCAAGAGAAGGAGGTGCAAAAGTGTCCTTTGATGAAGAGACTTGTGAGATCATGTTGAACGAAGCGATCTACTCAGTCAGGGACAAATGGAAGGTAGTAGAAAAGAAACCTCTACGTCCGGACATTAAACGATACGATGAGAAAGAGCTCACCTGCTACACGAGGAAAGAACAAATCAGATTTGAAGAAAAGGTCGCAGAGGCAAGAGGCATATTGATGGTCCCCTACACTGAGATCAAGAGGGTCCGAATACCAGTTGGACCAAAGGGTGACCTATCGGTCACTATGTCTTTTGACGAAG